AAGCGAACTGGGCAGCGAATGCTACCTTTTTCTTATGTTTGGCTTCGCTAGGGGTTTCTCCGGGCGAGTCCCAACGAGTGTTCGCTGCGGAGCTTCGCCAGGCGAATGGCAGCGAACATGATAATTTTTTGTGAATTTTCTGCTGTGCTGTTCAGTTCTCGCGTGGTTGGACCCTTGTTGGTCGTGAGCGGGTACGTGGTTATTATGGATCGGTTGAGAGCATGTAGGTGATGTAGAGGGCGCGTGCTTGAATACTCGTTGATACGAACGGTTGAGCTGAAGTACGCGGTGATGCCTAAAGTGGCTATGTATCCTTCGATTAGGAATGCGTATGTGTGGATGCGTACGTGAGATGTATGCTCAGTGTGCGAAATATGCGGATCAGTAGGATCGTTACACATTGAGTATGTTGTAGTGATGTGTTGTGGTAAGTGGGTCCGTGGGACCGATACGCTTTATATGCATTGTGATTATGTGCTATTGTGTGACTATTGGATCGGTAGGATCAGATGCACTTGTGTGCTTAATATGTATGTGATGTAATTGGGTCAGTAGGACCGACATGCCTTGTGTGCATAGTATGTGATTAGTTGTGTAGTGAGTGGATCCGTGGGATCGATGCACTATGTGTGCTTATTATGTATGTATTTTATGATGTGAGTTGATCCGTGGGATCGGTACGCCTTGTGCGTCGTGTATATGTATATGCTGTGTGAAAGGTGGATCGATAGGATCGGTTTGCACTTGGTGTGCTAGATGTATGATGTGTGTGAATGTGGTTGTGTGCTCCCTGTGAGGACGGTGATGGCCCAGTGACCATCGATATCATTGTTGTGCTCCCTGTGGGGAGGGTGATGGCCCAGTGACCATCGGTATTCTTGGTGTGCTCCCATAGTGGAGGGTGATGGCCAAGTGCCCATCGATATTGTTGGTGTGCTCCCGTTGTGGAGGGTGATGACCAGGTGTCCTTCAGTATTGTTGTGGTGCTCCCATTGTGGAGGATTGATGGCCAGTTGCCCATCAGTGTGGTGTGCTCCCTGAGTGGAGGGTTGATGGCCAAGTGCCCATCGTTGATATGTGCTCCTGTGTGGAGGGTTGATGGCCAGTTGCCCATCGTGATTGTGAGTCGGTACCGTGTGTTAAGAGTTGAGTGAGTGCATTTGTTGCGTGATTGTATGTTGTGGTTGATGGTGGGACCGTGAGTCCGGATGATATGAATATGGAATATTATTATTATGATTTCTGCCTTTTATTTCATGTACTACTATACCATTATTATTTAATCGTGATTCTCACCCCTTTGTTGTTGTTGTGGTCTGTGCTTCTTCGGAAGTACAGACAATCCAGGTGCTTAGCTAGTTGGATTGTGGTGTTTCCGTAGGACTGCTCTGATACGTAACACCGGGGCCTTTTTGGGAGTTTGTTGTCATTTGTTGTTTATGTGTGGCCCCTGTGGCGTATCTGTTCTTTTGTGGGATGTGAGATGATGCTTGATGGATATATATATATATATATATATATATATATATATATATATATATATATATATATATATATATATATATATATATATATATATATATATATATATATATATATATATATATATTGGACAGATGGCCGATTTTTGTATATATGATGATGTATATATACATGTTATGTGGTTTATGGCAGACTAATTTTATTTTTCCGCTGCAATATTACTGAAAATGATTTTGAGAAATGTTATGTGAAATCTTGTGGAAAAATTGTGACATCCCGTAAGTGGGAGAAACTCTGATATGTGTTTTATTTGTTTGTTTTATTTTATTTTGGGAACGGGGTGTTACAATATTTTTCATAAAATTCACTTTATCAAGCTTAAAAAGAGCCACAAAAATATGATCCACATTATGTAACTTCCACAAAACAGAACAACAACAACACAAAAGTGATCTACATGATCCCAGAACCCAAAATGTAATAAACATACACTCAAAGAGGCATTAAAAAAAGAGTAAGGTTGAAGAAGAATTTACCCACGTGAGAGCTTTGGTAACTTCTGTTCTTGCTCAAACCACTTCACCAAACTTCACCAAATTCCTCCTTGTGCTTTGAGGATAATGAATATAGTGAGGAAATGGAATAAAAATCCTTGAGAAATGTGATTCGAAGGAGAGTAAAATTTTGAGAGTGAGAGAGTTTGTTGCGTGATGTTTGGAAGCAGAAATGAACCCCCCTTCTCTAGGGTTTCACTTTTTAGTTTATATATGAGGTTATGATGTGGTTAAAATGAAGGTTTAGTGAGTTTAAATCTTGGTTAGTCTTTTTGGTGAAAATTAGAAATATGGAGGGTGGGTGAGGATAGTACATGCATGACATGGTTTTGGGATGGTTTGTTGGTGACCATTTGGTGGCTGCAAGGGGTCAGAGAGTGGAATAATGGAAGGAAAACCTTGTTATGCAAGTTTTATGCAATTTGTCTTCTTGCCATCTTTTGAAAAGCTTAGTTATGAAGCATACAAAGGGTACATGTAATGTTGGTTCATATTTGACAATGTTTAGTGGCACAAAAGAGGTAAGGTATGTGCATGACATGAGATGGGGTGAGTGGCTGCATAAAAACTCAAGCTTGGTGCATGAAAATGTAGCATACTGACATGCATAATCACCAATTCATGTAGCTCACTTTAAATGGTTGTAACTTGGTGAATGTTGCTTCAAATTGTGAAAACTTTAGCTCAATGGAAAGTAAGGAAGATAATGAACAAGTTTCATGTTCAAAACAACTTGAAATGAGGCTTGGAAACATGAGAAAGAATGAGTTTAAGTTGTGTCCAAAACCTTGTCCAATCATGATCTAAAAAATTTCTAAGATATGAACATTTTGACAACTTTGGATCCTTAACTTTGGAAGACCATAACTTGATATGTGTTAATCCAATGAAGGAGTTTTTGGCATCAATAGAAAGCTTGAAGAATTCCTAACAACTTTCATGTTTCAAGAAATTTAAATTGGAGCCTAGAACCATGAGAAATGTGGCCTTGAAAACTCATCCTCCAAGTTGAGATTCAACACTTAAAAAAAATTCGCAAGTATAGAATTACAAAATCTTGTTTTTCTCAACTTCATGCTATCATAACTTGAAATCTATGCACTTTTTGGGAATTCCTCCTCATTGACAAAGTTGTAGTATGGAAAGATATCTTCAAATTTATCTTTGAATCAAATAAAATGGATGTTTAGATTAGAAGTTATGACCTTGACAAGTCAGCACCAAATTAGGATTTTTCCATGACTTAGAAAAATTCCACTTTCTTCCAAGTTGCCCTTTTTGCAAGTAACCTCAATTATCTTGATTTTTCTTGATCAAACTCAATCATAAGACATGTTTTCATGGAATATGACTTGAGAAGTTCATGTTTGACCCAAGAACCCTAAAGTCAAAGGTTTGTCTTTGCAGTTAAGGACTTGTGTATCAGATGAATCTTCACCTCTTGATCTTCAATGAAATCAATATCTTGAGCCATATGAACACCATAGATGTATCCTAAGGGTGTATTTGAATGTCTTGAATCATGACTCAAGGCTTGAGATCATGTCTTGATCAAAAGTAAAAAATGCAATTGACTTTAGTTGAACAACTCTAGCTTATTGACTAGATGATTTTGAACTTTGAAGAACTTGTATTGAAGTCATTTTGCACTTGACTATTGATGGAGAGAGGCCTCTTGAGAGTATGAGAATTTTCTTGGTTGAGGATCTATCCAAAACCTCTTGAAGTAAACCCTAATTCACTAGTGAAACAAAACAAAACAAATTCTTGATAATTGGTTAGCCATGCACGAATGATTGACCTAGAATAATATGCTAAAGACCAAAGAATCTAAGGGTAAAAATTTTAGGTATGACACAAAACAACTTAGATGCAAACCAACAAATGATCCCATTGAGCAAAATCTTAGGATAAACATCAAGAAGGAAAGTGTCAAAGTTGACAAGGGTCTGGATCAGAGATAAGTAGGAAAGTTGATTTACTTGACACATACTAGGTCCGATTTTGCATAGGTCAGTCAATTTACTTGGATAGGTCAGATTTAACAGTTAGTACAGTCAGCCAATTTATGTATGAACCAAGGAGAAGACACTTGCAAGTTGTAGACGTGTTCTGCAATATCTCAAAGTCACTTCGGAAAGAGGAATTTTGTTTAAAATAGGTGGAAGTCTAACAATGAAATTTTACATTGATGTTGACTATGCAGGTTCAGAGAGTGATAGAAGATTTACTTTAGGTTATTGTATCTTCTTGTGTGATAACCTAGTTACTTGGAGGAGTAAGAAACAAAATGTTGTTGCTCAATCAAACGTTGAAGCATAAGTTAGAGCTATGACACAAGGAATTTGTGAACTATTCTGGATCAAACGTGTGTTAGAAGACTTGAAGATTCAATGTGAAGGTCCCCGTGAAATTGTTTTACGATAATAAATCGGTCATTCGTATTGCACATAATCGTATTTAGCATGACATGACAAAACACATTAAAATTGACCGACATTTTATTAAAAAGTCGGACAATGAATTGAGAGTTTCTAGGTGAGATGTTAGCCTTATTAACTAATTGTTTACCAAGAAGATAATTCAATCAATTTACTTGCAAATTTGAAATAATTGGAGTATGAAACTCATTAGACAAAACATATTAGATTTTTCTCCTGTTTAAGATTATTTAAGAATTGTAAATACAACTTTGATATATAATTTTCAATCTCCCATCTCAATCATTCAAATAATTTTCCCATTTACAATTAATGAAATAAAAGTAATAAGTAATTAATGTTAAAGATCACACTATATGACAAGAGTTCCTCAATCTTTTTCTTTAAATAAGGCCTATTTTTCAATTTACACTCTCAAAATATCTCAACATATATAAATGGATACAGTTCTGCATCATATTATATGAACTCAGAGTTTGAAACTTGGCCTACCCCCACATGAAATTTGAATTTAGTTAAAGATTTAGTTAGTTACAACTCCCGCAGATTTGTCTTTAAACATTCTGAAGCTTAATGCATTTAGCATTGCTCTTGAATACTGTCGAGAAGCCATTTTCCAATCTCCTCCTGTCGTCATCATTGCTTTAAACTCCTCAAAACTTATTCGACCATCCTTCAACAAAACAAAAACAGTCATGGATGTTATAAAAACTGAGCAAGACACATTACAGACAGCATTTGTTTGTATATGTATATATATATCTTACCTTATCTAAATCAACATCGTTTAGAATGTCTCTAACCACCTGGTCGTCGGTCGAACCATCATCTGATAAGGCATCCTTTAACTCGTCAAACTCAACATATCCGCTCTTATTCTTGTCAAAGAAATTGAATGCTTCAGAGAGATGCTCATCATTTCCTATCCTTCTCAAATGAACACTCATTGTGATGAACTCTTCGCAGTTCAAGTTGCCGTTTCCATCAGAATCTGCCTGTTGTCATAAATTAACAACCAAGTTCAGTTTTTTCATTATAGCATATAGAATGTTCAAAGCAGTTGTTCATAGTAAGGAACTTACAGCATCAATTAACATCTGAATATCAGGATCAGGAATAACTTGTCCAATCATTGAAAAGCCATCTTTCAACTCTTCAAATGTTAAGAGTCCATCATTGTCCTTATCCATCATATCAAACAGCTTTCTAAGCCCATCAATTTGTTCATCTGGCAAATTATCAGCCACCACCTAAATAGAAAACCAAATTAATTCAAGAGTCAAAAAAATAGATATCCCTGACCAAAGCCATCTCAAGTTTTTGGAGGCAACCACTGACAAATCAAGGTCATACTTAACCAAAGTTTAACTGTGACAAATATTTTTTAGACCCTATTTAGCCACGGTTAAATTTTGGACCCTGTGAGTTAACTCGTCTTACACGACTTCAAAGACGGTTTGTCCCTGATATAGGAAAGAGATCATGATGAAACTTACTCTAAGGACTTTCTTCTTGAATCTATTCATCAAGGAGAATTGCTTGATCCTCATTCTCACATGGTCTCCAAGAGAAACATTTCTACCATGCTCTCTATGTTGTATCCAGGTATGATCTTCACACAGAAGAAAACAATTAATCATTAGCACAGATTTGTCATCATATCAATGAAATTATAGAGGAGCACCATACATACCAAGAACTTCTTGAACTGTGATTCTAGTGTATGGATTTGGATCAAGCATACGCTTAACAAGGTATTTTGCTTCTTCAGAAACTTTAGGCCAAGGATCTCTTGTGAAATCTACATTACCCCGGATTATCGCCTGCGCTATGGCTTCTTCAGTTTCTGTACTCAACAACAAACACAGAAACTTTATCAAAAACAACTTTTAATTGAATTTTTCATCGCAATCGCGGTTGCACATATACACAAGAGAATATCAAAAGGGACCAACCTGCCCAAAAGGGTGGAACACCACAAAGCAAAATATAAAGAATAACGCCGGTGCTCCATATATCAATCTCTTGTCCATAGTTTCGTCTCAAAACTTCCGGAGCCATGTAATAAGGACTTCCAACAATTTCATTGAATCTATCGCCTGTCACAACACATTGAAATCATTGTATTCTATTCTAATTTTACAACGAAAAATATACTCCGACAGTACTAATAATCAGAAAATCACTTTACCAGTTACATAAAAAGTCGATAATCCAAAATCGATTGCCTTAAGTGATGCTGTCTCACTTGCATCTGAAAATAAGAAATTTTCAGGCTTCAAGTCCCTATGTATAACACCATGTTCATGACACACCTGCAAAATGTACAAAACAAAAGAACTTCAACAAATGAACAAAAATTCAAAAACAAAGACAAAAAGTTGATTATTAGTACATTACCTTGCAAACTTCAAGAATGGTTTTCGCGACATTGGCAGCCGCTCTTTCCGTATAATGACCTTTAGCAACAATCCTATCGAAAAGTTCACCACCTTCGCACAATTCCATAACTAGATAAACAGCATCCTTATCCTCATAAGCTTCCCGAAACGCAACAATATTCGGATGTTGAGGCAAATGCTTCATAATTTGAACCTCCCTCCTCACATCCTGAATATCAATCTCCGTTCTCAGCTTCGTCTTGGATATCTTCTTACACGCAAACGCCTCGCCCGTTTGCAGGTCCATGCAATGCACGGTCACGCCGAATTCTCCTCTCCCAAGCTCTTTTCCCAACTCGTACTTATCGAATATGCTTCCCGGACTTGGATTTGTCACGACGTTTAGCGGACGCGATGTCACGCTTGATCTACGCGCGGTCGGCGTTGGAGCCTCGTGCTCTTGATCGTGTGCGGTTTTGTTGTGTTTGTTGTTGTTGTTGTGGTGATGATGATCTTTTGATCTCTTTCGTACGCCATTTTTGCCGGCTTGTGTTGATACGCAACTCCCCATGGATGAATACTCAGAGTTTGATATTATGAATTAAATAAAGTGATGAATAAATAAAATGTATGAAATTTGAATTGAATTGATTGAATTGGATTATATACAAAAATATATATATAGCAATTTTTGTATGTATATAATCCAATGCAATGCAATTAACGCAACGTGAATTTGAGTTTAACAATGACGATGATTATTATTATTATGTTGATGATGGTGTTGGTGAGTTACCCAATCTCCATGGGAAGAAGAAGGAACGTAAAGGGAGAATGGGAACTAGCTAATCTAAAAAAAATGGAGAGGGAGAGAATGAGAATGAAAAGGAAAAATGGATGCTATATTTGGTTGAAACTACCGTGTTGCGCTGGAACATTGCAAACTCACAGTTGGTCCCGCCATTTTCTTAGGACTTTTTCGTCCGTTCATATTATTTTTACATTTTCTTTTTCTATTGCTATTTTATTTTGTGATGATATTTTGTACAGATATACACCAGTTTGGGTTGAGATTAGTTTTTGTTTTGTCCAATAGATATGAGTTAATCGGTTTCTATCAAAACACATAAGGTTTGTCATGCATGTCAGGTAAATTATTGTCTATAATTGAATCTAGAATAAAATTATCAGCTATTTTCTACTTTATTAATAAGAGAATATACTTGTGCTAGCTTATGATAACAGAGGGTTTGATAATTTGGAAAGACATGATAAGACTTGTCCAATTGATACGTCTTGTTTAGTTAAAACGAGATTTTCTTGTGCTTTAGAAATTTTTTTATTGAATAACTATTCTATACGAACATATTTGCACACTTATGTAAATATTATTTTAGAGAAAAAAATACATTAACTCTTTTATGTATAAACTATTTCAAAAATAAAAAATATTAAGAAATTAAATATTTCCTCTGCAATTTATTTTAAAAATTGTTAATTTATATGGTATAACAGTTTAAGTTATATATTATGAAAAAATATTTAAATAAAATATTATTACCAATGATTGAACCTAAACGCTTTTGTTTTAATAAAAAAAATAACAATAAAAACTTCAAATAAAATTAATTTAAAATAACTTTTTATGAAACTTCATTTTAATATTTCATTCTCTTGCGATAATTTTTTTAAAATTTAAAAATTATTTAAATTTAAAATTATTTTAAATATTTTTTCATAAAAATCATATATATATATATATATATATATATATATATATATATATATATATATATATATATATATATATATATATATATATATATATATATATATATATATATATATATATATATATATATATATATATATATATATATATATATATATATATATATATATATATATATATATATATATATATATATATATATATATATATATATATATATATATATATATATATATATATATATATATATATATATATATATATATATATATATATATATATATATATATATATATATATATATATATATATATATATATATATATATATATATATATATATATATATATTGTTTGGGGGAGTTTTTCTCACACACACACTTTTAATTATATCATATATTTAAATATTAAAAAATAAGTTTAAAAAAAGATTTTTTTTCCTTCAAAATAACCCTATTTTCCACCTCAATTTCCAAAATAACCATATTTTTCAACTATATATCAAACTACCCATGTTTAAAAAAAACATTCGCAGCAAAGAGCATGCGTCAGATCAATTGGTGTCTGGTCTTAAAATTGTACTTAGGCACCAGTCAAAGTGGTAACTGCGCCGCCACTACTTCAGTCCAATTGGCGCTAATGTTGTAAGACAGAGAGGAAACACTAATAGGTCTGGACCTATGTGTATTTCCATTGTTTATAAATCAGTCCTACATTCCTTATCATTTTTCACACTTCTTCTCATTTTCTTCTTAAGTTTTTCTTCATTTTATCTAACATGATTATTAAAAGAAATGAGTATGTTTGTTATTCGATTCTCAAGCCTTCATTGAAGATGTGTTTATAGAATATCCAGAGTTTTGGGCAACTTGAGAGGAGTTTAATCTGTTGGTTAGAGGGAGAGATTAAAGATGGTGACAAAATTAGAAGAATTAATAAGTTTGTTTCGGTCTTCTCAATTGCAAATGAGATTAATGAAGCACGTCGTGTGTGGGAGTCAATTAAAACTTGTTGGAACAAAATTGGTTTGTACCATATCCCTTCGATTTTGATGATAACAAAGTATTTAAAGAACAATTGAGTATACTAATATTTGTTCGAATGTGCAAGACCATAAACTAAAATTTCAGAAATAATCTAAGTTTTGGTTCTGATATTGAACATTTAAAGTGAAGCTTAAACGACTCTTTTCCTTCTCTATTTAAGGAGATGAAGACTTGAAGAACAAATAATGAACTATTGACATTCAAAGAACATTTACTCTTTCAAAAGATAAACACAACTTTAACTTAGGATTTCTTATCTTTGTATATTCTAGAAATCCCTACGTCTTAAGGAGTCTTCTTGCATTGTATTTTGTATACATCTTTGATTATATATCAAGTGTATTACCCCAAAAAATATTTTATCTGTTAGGTAGATTTTGAGAAGTCTGTTACTTAGTGTTTGAGCATTTGATGTCTCTTGCTTGTATGCTTGAGCATAGAAATCTCATGCTTGTGTGCTTGAGGATTGGAAGTCTCTTTCTTGTATGCTTGAGCATAAAAGTCTCTTACTTTGTGTTTGACCATTGAAAGTCTCTTGCTTGTGAGCTTGAGCAAATTGTAATCTTGTGTAATTATAGTGAAAATCTCTTGTAAGTGCAAGGGGACTGAACTACTCTCGATTCGTGAGAGGAACTAGAATAACTTTGTACGCCTCCTTCTTTGTTTCATTCTTTATCTACTGCTTAGCACTCACATCTTATTGGTTCAGATTCTACACTTTGTGTTTAGAGTATGACTAGAGTTTTAAAAAGAAAGAAAAAGTTAACATAATTCAACTCCCTTCTTGTATTTTTCTCACCTTCAATTGGCATCAGAGAACGGTTTGTGCTAAACACTTAACAATGGTACAGAAAAATCCTGAGAAAAATATATTGAATCATGTCTGGAGTATTTGAGTTTGATAGTGGTACTCCTAATCCTCATGTGTCTATTAATCATGATTATAGTACTTGTGAAAATAATAAATATATTGGTAGACCTCCAACTTTTAATGTAGACTCTACTGAGTTTGAATGGTGGAAGAGAAAGATGTATACTCATATCACATGTATTTATGATGAGTTGTGGGATATTATTGAAGATCGCATTGATATTCCAATTAATGGAGTAGGAATGGTAATTGATAGGAAAACTCTCACACCTGCTCAAAAGAAGATCTATATAAAACATCATACAGTTAGAGGCATTTTGGTTGATGTTCTGCCTCACTCTAAGTACATCAAGATTGTTGATAAATCTATTGTTAAAACCATTTTGAATCTCTATGTGCTACATATGAGGGAAATCTACAAGTAAAGGAAGCAAAGGAAAATCTCTTAGTTTAATAATATAAGTTATTCACAATGAAGGAAGATGAGGATATTGAAACCATGTTCTCTAGGTTTCAAATTCTTGTGTCTGGACTTCAAGTTTTGAACAAGAGATACACAACCTCTGATCATGTCAGGAAGATTCTTAGAAGTATTCCTGTCAGATACAGACCTAAGGTGATAACTATCCAGGAAGCCAAAGACTTAAATACATTAAGTCTTGAAAGTCTTATAAGCAACCTCCAGAGCCATGAGATAGAGCTCAATGAAGATGAACTTGCCAAGAAGTCAAAGTCTCTTGCTTTGAAATCTAGTGCTAAATCTGCTAAGGTTACTCAATTCTGGGAGTCTCAAGAAGCTTTTCATGTATAAGGTTCTAAAGAAGATTCAGATGATGAGGAAATAGCCTTTATTATCAAAAGATTTCAATATCTTGCAAAGAAGAACAAAATATTCTCTGGAAGAAGAAGTGGCTTTAGAGGGTCAAGTTCAAGAGACAACAAGCGTGATTAGAAGGATGTTTCAATTGCAATAAGACTAATCAATTTATTGTTGACTGTCCAGAGCTGTAAAAGGACAAGTCAAAGAAAGGAAGCAATTAGAAGGATAGCTTCAGAAACAAGTTTAAGAAGAGTCTCATGGCAACATGGAATGAACTTAACAAAGAAGATGAATCAGAAAAATTGAGGAAAAAACCAATCTAGCTTTAATGGCTCTTACATCTTCAGACACCGAATTTGACTTAGATTCGGGTTCAGAGTTTGAAGAAGAGGATGAGATATTTTCTAAACTGTCTCATTTATATTTAATTACTTTTATTCAATACCTTATGGTTCAATGTCAAGAAAAATTCTGACACATGAAAATATTGAAAAAGCAAAATAATCTATTCAAATATGAATTAAAATATTTTCAAAATAAAAGTGAAGCTTTAGAAAGAGAACATATTGTGTTAGAACATATATTGGTTCTTAGTTATATCTCTATGTTTTGATGATAACACTTACGAAATTTGGTATTAAGAAATTATATACTCTAAATTTTGTTCAAGTATTTTTGCTGCAGATATTAAATTTAATATTCTTCTAAAAGCAAAAATGGATCGGAACATTGATCTATGCAAGGCTCTGAAGCGTCAGAAGCATCTATTAGAAGAATCTGAATGCTGCCTACAGAAGACTCTGAGCGCTGCCTACAGAAGGATCTGAAGCATAGACTGAAGACTTTGTATGAAGAGTTTCAAGCACAGTTTTTCAGAAGACTCTGATAGTACTGTACGCTGCAAGTACTGAGGATCTGATCCCTAAACTCTGCTCTAATGAAATCTCACGCTAAAGCACACTGCTGCAACACTCTGATATAGCATACTCTGATGAACATCAAAACTCTGATCACTCAAGGCTCTGATGTTAATTGCTGTGAATTAGAAACTTGTTGAAGACGAATTCAAAGTTATATCCGTTGGTTATGCCAAACGAATCTTT